ATGCAGGATAGCGGCCCTCGAGGACAGGAGTTTGACACCCCTGACTTAAATTCACTTGTTATTTTCTTTATTTGGAAGAGAAACACGATGAGCGGAAGTTAAATTTTCTAACTTAACGGAGCTGTTTTGTTTTGGTCCAACACAATAAGTACACGGTAAAAACATGTGCGAAATATTTAGTTCCGYGTTGAAGAAATCTTTTTCAAATGGAAAAGTTATCCAACTGTAAAAGGAAAATTTATGTTTCTTTATTCAAACATAATCACGGATAAATAATATATAAAAAACTGCATACTGGAGAAAAAGATTTTAAATACAAGATACTAAATCAAAATTAGAACTCAGTATCTTAGAAATATGACTTAACATTTAATAATTAGCATTTTATAGTGTGACTTAATATCTCAAAATTGTGATTTAAAATTTTATAGTTAAGGCTTAAGAATTAATTTATTGTCAGTTTTGTTTTTCTTCCGTCCACAGACTTCATTTCCCAGGATGCCCAGCGCCACCGGCAGGGCGGAGACCGCTTCCTCGTGAAGATGGCGGCTCCCTTGACTCTGCTTCTGATTGTAGCCGTAACAATTCGCGCGGTTCTGTTCAGATCCAGTTTAGCGGAGCTGATTGCGGAGCGGGTGGAGGTGGTGTCTCCTATAACCGCCTGGAAACGAGGTGAGCTGGGCGGAGGAGCGACGGTCCGGAGCCCGRTTCTGGTTCGATCCCCGCTTCCTGCTGCGGTGCTGTCAAGTCAAACCGGTTCAGATACAAAAGAAATGAACAAATCTGAGTTAAAAGGGGTCGAAAGTAATCCAGCAGCATAAATTTGAATATTAATGTTCATTTGATCTTTAAGGAGGGGTGAATTAATTGTTGTTATTTTTTACGAATGCTATTTTATTTAGCTTCTGTAGCTAAAAGTGCATCAAATAACGAGTCTTTCTCTTGTTTTGCATTGAAAATTCGTTTCATGGTAAATTAGCTTTGTTTTCTTTTTGCTGTATCAACTCAGGGAGCACAAAGGGGACAGAAAAAGTAGCTGTTCAGGGCTGAAAGTGCTTCCATTTCACATTATTAGGTTCAGCCTCTGTATTTTGACTCTGGGTCCAAACTGATGATCAAACTTCCTTCCTGTGACTTTTTTATTGCAGTTATTGAAGGCTTGGCCCTGCTTGACCTGGGAGTTTCACCGTACTCTGGAGATGTGTTCCACGAGGTGAGGAAAACGTCTTGCACCTGTCCTTAAACATTATTTCAGTTTAGAAACATGTTTTTATTCAGTTTCTCTTGTTTTTTCCCCCCCCTCCAGACGCCTCTCATCATTTATCTCTTCCACTTTTTGGTGGATTATGCCGAAATTACATTTATGGTAAGAAAAAAAAACATTTTTTATTTTGCTTTTGAAACTTTTCTCTAATTAAAAAAAACATTTCCTGTGTTTCTCACGGTTCCTGTAGGTGGCAGATGTGATCACTGCTGTTGCTCTTTACTTGGCTGTGACAGAATACAACAAACAAGTGGTAAGAAAATGAAATGCTTTGTTCCGTATCTGTAAATGTGCACGTTGTGAGCTGCGTTCTTTCACGATTTTCAGTACAGGAAACAGAAGTTTGCCCTGGAGGCGAATCRTTACCCTCCCGACTGCCTGGAGCTCGTCAGGAGCCCCAAAGAAATGTTTTACATCCCTCTGAAAGTAGCCATGTTGTGAGTATCTGTGCGCCTCTGGGTGGCGTTAAATCATTCTGCAGCTTTAATGACGCCTCGTCTTCTCTTAAGTTACCTGTTGAACCCGTTCACCATCCTGTCCTGCGTGGCCAAGTCGACATGCGGCCTGAACAACGCCGTCATCTCCCTCTTCATCCTCGCAACGATCAAAGGTCAGATCGGTTTGTTTGCGTTTGTTCCTGAAACATCGCTACTTTATAAAACCCAGAGAATGAGTCTGAGTTTATTTGTTTGTTTGTTTGTTTGTTTGTTTGTTTGTTTGTTTGTTTGTTTGTTTGTTTGTTTCGTGTTCGTGTTTCAGGAAACGTCCTGCTGAGCGCCGTGTTCCTGTGTTTGGCCACATATCAGTCCATTTACCCGCTGACCCTCTGCGCTCCCGCCATGCTGTACTTGATGCAGGTGTGTGCTTCAGCCTCCATGCAGGAAAAAGTTTGATCGTTGTGTAAAATGTAAACAAAAACAGGATGCAGAGATTTTACAGATCTCATTGTATCAAATGTTTAAAATAAAAGGTCTTTTTGACTTTGATGATAGCAGCACATTTTTAAAAAATCGGTAGAGTTGTTCAACATTTTGATATTTTAACAGTTTCATTGTGAATAAATTATGGGTTTGTGAGATTTACAAACAAGAATTCCTTTTTTTCTCCACTTTCAAACACACTTCTGTTAAAATATTTGAGCACTTTTTGTTTTTTCCCTCTCCCCCAGCGTCAGTTCATCCCTGTGAATTACCGTCGGGTCAGCTTCTGGTGGTTCGTGGTTCAGTATCTCTTCATGTACCTCGGCAGCCTGCTGGTCCTCGTCTGCCTCTCCTTCTTCCTGCTCGGCTCCTGGGACTACATGCCCTCCGTTTACGGCTTCATGTGAGTGCAGAGTGCAGCTCCACCTGCGGAGCGTCGACTGAAAGTTAACCTCTACGGACCCAAGGGGTTGTCTTGATGTTCTTGCTCTAGTTACCATGCCGAGTGTATGTCAGCCTTTATAAACTCTACTGAAATAATCTTGTTATCAATATAAAGCTAACACTTGGGAGATTTCATCAGAAGTGGAAGAACTAAAACAGCTGCTCTTATTTTAGAGATATTGAGGATGGAACATAGTTTTTTTTCTTATTTTTTTCATTAGACAGTTTAGAACTCATTTAAAACATAATAAGACTAAAAACTCTTGGAAAGCATCATGTGGACATCACCCGTGCAAAGACTCATGCTGCTAAAATGAAATGGAACAAAGTTACAGACGTTTTAATAAAACAATAATTTTGTGTTTTGTCATTCTGCACAGGATGTTGGTACCATCGATAAATATAAAGAAATCCTAAGCTTTTAATTGCAATTTTTTTWAACCTGTCTGAAAAGACATTGATATTTGTTCTTTGGAACAGTAGTGGTCTCCTCGAGGTGGAACCTGTCTTTGACCTTTGTCTCTGTAAACCTCCATCAGAGACAAAACTCTGTTCATTTTTAAAACTTAGTTTAAACATAAAGAGACATTTTCTTCTTCTTAATTAAGATAATAAACAAAATAATAATGTTCTGTATATTTAGGAGTTAGGAGTGATCAGGACTCTGTACCACAGAGCAGACAGTGTCCCTACAAACCCAGGAGCCAGGCAGAAAGAGAAATCACACACACGACAGGCCCTGGAGCAGTGTGGTTATCCTGACTGGGCTTTCCTGAAAGCAGACAGGAAACACAGACAGGATTCCATGCAACCTTCAGGTGAAAATGAAGACCCCAAACCCAGACCCAAACCAGTGGTCATTCCGTATGTTGCGGGTGTTTCGGAGAAACTGAGACGTTTATTTTCTAAACATGATGTCCCAGTGGCTTTCAAACCCCAAAACACATTACGGCAAAGGCTGGTTCACCCCAAAGATCCGGTGCCCCGGCACAAACAGAGCAATGTTGTATATGCTGTTAAGTGCCAGGAGGACTGCGACCAGTTATACATCGGGGAAACAAAGCAGCCACTGTTCAAAAGAATGTCCCAACACAGACGAGCTAATTCTAATGGCCAGAACTCTGCAGTTTTCACTCATTTACAGGCCAGCGGTCACTCTTTCAGAGATGAGGATGTTCTCATTCTTGATAGAGAGGAACGTTGGTTTGAGAGAGGAGTAAAAGAAGCCATTTTTGTAAAGAAAGACCGTCCGTCATTAAACAGAGGTGGAGGCCTCCGTTTTCAGTTGTCCCCCTCCTACAGTGCTGCTATTGCCAGTATCACTCCACCCCCTGTTAACAATAAGTGTTAATTAGGTGTCAACGATAGCCATGTGATGTGAGTATCAGTCACCTGGAGGCAGGGCTTAAAAGCCTGAATTTTGCCTGAAACTCTCAGACTGAAGAAGTCTCTTGGAGGAGAGACGAAACGTTTCATTAGAGAAGAACCCGTCCAGAAGACCTATACAATTTTTTTCTTTTTGTTCTGTATATTTTCAATTTATATTTTCTTTTAACTAAAAGTTATCATTTTATAAATATTTTAATATAAGTGTAAATATTATCCAGACATTTACAGTATTTGAAATAGTTTTCATGTTTTAGCCAAGATTCTTTGGTTTCTAAAAGTTTTTAATTTAACCGAAGTTAAAAGAAGTCAAAAAACAGTAAAGTCTGTTTCGAGGCTGAAGAGGTGAAACCACGGTTTGTGTTTCTCTCCTTTCAGTCTTTCGGTCCCGGACTTGACCCCGAACATCGGCCTCTTCTGGTACTTCTTCGCCGAGATGTTTGAGCACTTCCGCCTCTTCTTCCTCTGCGTTTTTCAGATCAACGTGTTCTTTTACACCATCCCTCTGTCCATCAAGCTCAAGTAAGTCCAGCCCCTCTCCCTCCCCCCGCTCTGACTCTACGACTGAAAGCAGCTGAAACTGTTGTGTGTGTGTGTGTGCGTGTGTGCGTGTGTGTGTGTGTGTGTCCGTGTGTGTGTGTGCTGCAGGGAGCACCCCGTGTTCCTGATGTTCATGCAGTTAGCTGTGATCTCCATCTTTAAATCTTACCCCACTGTGGGCGACACCGCCCTCTACCTGGCCCTCCTGCCTGCCTGGGCTCACCTGCACAGATGTAAGTTTTTTGTTGTTGTTGTTGTTGTTGTTGTTGTTGTTGTTGTTGTTGTTGTTATAACTGGTTTAATTGTAGAATGAAGCGATTCTGAATTCTCTCCCCGCCCAGTCTTGAGGAACATCTTCCTGGTGTCCTGCGTCCTGCTGGCCTGCTCGGCCCTGTTCCCGGTCCTGTGGCACCTCTGGATCTACGCCGGCAGCGCCAACTCCAACTTCTACTACGCCATAACGCTGCTGTTCAACGTGGCACAGGTACGGCGCAGGTTCAATCCCAGCAAAACTGCTGGTAATCTCTGAATGATCGCCGWTTGTTTCCGTCCTCCCCCCCCATCAGATCCTGCTGGTGTCGGATTATTTCTACGCCTTCCTGAGGAGGGAGCACCACCTCACCTGTGGACTCTACCTGAAGAAGAAAGACGGCTCCGAGGCCACGCTGGTGCTGAAATAACACGCAGCCTCTGCAGGGAGGAACAAACTACTGAAAACTCTCCTCTGAGAACAAACTGAGGATTAAAGAGTCCAGAGCTGCATGGACTCACAGAACAAACAGAACGTGGACAACAGATCAGCTCCTCCACTAAAGGGCTCTTATTCTGAAGGACCACTCCACCTGGAACTCAGCCCGCTGATCTGGGCTTTTCTTTTGAAGGTCCTCTCTGTCGCCGACTTTAGAAGAATTTTATTTCGTCCGGCAGGATTTTTCTTTTACTTTGAACTCTCCTGATTTGGTGGGCTTTTATTTTGAAGCCTTCCTCTTGGGTAAACATTAAACGTGTAGGAAAACTCATCAGTTTATGATTTTCTGTTTTGATTTCMTGAGAGTTCCCATTCAAATCTGTTAGTGAAGTTCATAAGATATTTTGCTAACAATACAAACTAAACTTTTGTTTTTTATTTTCAAAAACTTTTTTCTTATATTCTAAAAAATGTTCTTTGATCAAACTGGTTTTGACAAACTGTTTTTATTTTATTTTATTTTTACGTTTTCTTCATATAATCCTAATGAATGTGCATTTTATTATTAGTGAACCATTTTATATGCATGCAGAATGAGACTAATTTACAAAAGGTACTACTTGGACATATGAAATTTAGCAGGAAGTAAAATGAGAAAACTAGGGGAAAAACTAGGCATCTAAACAAAACTAGTGATTTTATTTAAAAATGAATCATAACAGATCAGTTTGTTTCCCTCCAAAATTAAATTCAAATTTCTTAAATTCATCAGACGATGTCAGCGTCTAACTCTCCACTAAAATACATTTTCTAACATTTACTTCAGTTCCAATGTCCTAAATCCAAACTTGTTATTCTGTGCAGTATTCACTACAAACTAACGTTTATGCTTAAACTTCAAGTGTTAGTTTAAATATATATTTTTTCCATTTTATACTAACAAGAATAACTAACATTTTACTGTCAGCTATAAAAAAATCACTTATTCCAGGATAAATGAACTTAACTCTATGGTGAGCCTAAACTGTATGACATCATAAAACATGATTTATAAATTAGTTTGATTCATCTTTCAAAATAATCTGCATCATTGAAACAGTTAAACTGTAAAAACCTTCACTCAGACGTTTCAGTAGAAATATGACATACGTATTACATAAATGCTTTTTCTGAAACGTCAGAATTTAAATAAGCTTAAAGAGTCAAAGGTGCAAACAAACCAAAAAAGTTTACAACTCTCATTGAAATGTTTTAAACCCTGAAGGTCCATCAGACATTTTGATACCAAAAATAATCAAATATTTATTTACTTACTGCTGTAAAACCTTTGAAAATATATCTACTTTTTGTTTTTGATTCTGTTTAATGTTTAGGTTCATGTTTGTTTAAAATGGTTGCCACATTTGATGAACAACTTTTTTTTATTTGAAAACACTTAAAATTCTTTAAACTGTTTGTCCTCCAGTGTGAGTTCTCTGTGGTTCAGGACCAGAATAAATTCTAAAACTAAATAAATAAAAAAATCAGTCACTGCAAACAAGGACTTTATTTCCTGTGGACCTGTGCTTAAATATTTGTCCATAACTCTCACATTCAAACGGTTTCCGTCCTGTGTGGACTCTTGTGTACAATTTTAAACTTGTCTTGTGTCTAAATTGTTGTGCACATAGCTCACATACAAAGACGTGATGTAATGTTTCTTTGCTAACTGAACAAACGTCTGTTACATATTTGACATAAAATTGACTTTATCTCAGTTATTTCACCTCATATTTAATCATTTTTATGGTGTTTAAAAGAAAACTTGTTGTCTGTGAGGTCGGTGCTGTATTTTGTTTTAACYACTAGATGGCGGTAAAGATTTTCTGATAACAGGAGAAACAAAAACAGTTCTAATCTAAATGTCTTTGTAGTTTTTATGACTTTTGATCAAAGCATCATCATAAATTTGGCATTTATTAAATTTGATGAGACAAAAAAACATTAATAGTTAAAAAAAATCTTAT